CGAATATCGTGTTGATTTTGGCGGATGATTTCGGCTGGAATGATGTGGGCTACCACGGCTCTGAGATCCGGACTCCTCATCTGGACCGCCTGTCCGAGCGCGGGGTTCGGCTGGAGAATTACTACGTGCAGCCGCTGTGCACCCCGTCCCGGAACCAGCTGATGACCGGCCGCTACCAGGTCAGAATACACCAGGGTTGCCAGCTTTTCACAACAAAACCCTCCCAGTCGCGTTCCGTGGGGTAAGATCACGTTTTCTGGCGGGGGTCCCCTGGAGGAAAATTCGCATTCCAGGGGTTAAATATCGCGTTATTGTGGTCGCTTTAACCCGCGGACATGAAAGACAAGCCGCGGCAACAGTGTAACAGTGAGTGTAACAGTAGCCCGATTCCGCGGGAAAACCGCGCACCTGGCAACACTGGAAAACACCAGTAAACCATGTACTGCAGTATAAACCCTGTGCTGTAGGACTTGTGCCATGGTAATACCATGGTATTCTCTAAAGTAGACTACAGTAAGTACTGCGGTAGTACACTGATAATAGAGTTGATAATAGAGTTCCTGAATTTGATCTGTAGTTTCAGACATGAGGTTTGAGTTTCAGGAAGTAGAATTCAAGTGGAATAAAGTTCATATGACGGCTCTAAATAGTTTTATTAGTGCATTTTCAGTGAAATACCTAGAAACGTGCATGTGTGTATTTACCGTGGTACTGTCCAACACATATTGGTCATATTCATATTTAACAAATCAAGAATTTATTACATACTGTAAAACACGTTCAGTATTTGTCCAATTATATCATAGCACTACCATGTATTTTTTTAAGTACTGTGGCAGACTGCAATTGAATCGAACACTATTGAGAGTGTAACATCTAATTAGTTTCCTGAATTTGATCTGCGGCGTTAAAAATGGCATAGAGTGTTGTTTTTACTAATGCATTTAATTTTTCATGAATTTCCTTTGAATATGCATGAGCCTGTGTTGACCAAAAACCTGTCCAGTTTTACCATGGTATTGTTGGAAACACCTCCTGTTGGAATACCGTGGTACATTCATGATGTGTGTGTGTGTGTCAGATTCACACGGGTCTGCAGCACCAGATCATCTGGCCGTGTCAGCCGTACTGTGTTCCTCTGGACGAGACGCTGCTGCCCGAGCTCCTGCGGGACGCCGGATACCACACACACATGGTGGGCAAGTGGCACCTGGGCATGTTCAGGAAGGCCTGTCTGCCCACGCGCCGAGGATTCAACAGCTTCTTCGGTGAGTCACGAGTGAATCCGAGCAGACGCCTGACAGCAGCAGGAACCAGGAACACAAGCTGGATCATGTGACACGCGTGTCGTTGTGTGTGTCTGCAGGCTACCTGATGGGTTCAGAGGACTACTTCAATCATACCAGGTGCAGTTTCATCGCTCCTCTGAACGTGACGCGCTGCGCTCTGGACCTGCGTGACGGCGAGGACGTGGCTGTGAATTACACGGGACTCTACTCCACTGAACTCTTCACCCAGAGAGCCACGGACATCATCACACGACACACACCTGAGAAAGTACACACACACACACACACACACACACACACACACACACACACGTCACATGACTCACCTCAGGGCCTGTTCATAGCCAGATAATCCTATTATTGTTTATTTGAATATTTACAGACCAGTGTTGCCAACTGGTAAACTAAAACTGGTAGCTAAATGTCACTCGATTACATCACAATGGCAAATTCACTGATCTATATAAAGATGAAAGTAGATCAGTGGGCAAGAGGAGAACTTACATAAGGTTTGTCCAAGAAGTTGCTATATGTGACCTTGGAGCACATCGGACAATATTTGGCTGAGATACAACTATTTGAAAATCTGGAATCTGAGGGTGCAAAAAAAATCTAAATATTGAGAACAGACCCAGTGAGCTATTACGATTGAAACACTAAGTCACAGTGCTGCACATGTTTTACTAAGCTTAACCAGGGTTATTATTGTTAACTAAACTCGTTACTTGAAGTAAAATAAGCATTAACTTTAAACTGATATGAGCTAGTTGCCAAGGCGAAATGTTTCATTTAGTTTAATTCGATGTGCTAAAATAACTAAAACTCAACAAAAACTATACAGACATTAAAAAATAATAACAAAAATGACAAAAGCACACAACTAAATGACTAACACTTTAAGTGAAATTAAAATACGAATAAAAAAGATCATCTAAACTCAAGCCGTCAGACGGCGATAGCTAGTAAAACTCTTGAGCTGCCACTTATAAACATCAGACCTAAAACTATCCTCGTTATATTTCAGTGCAGAAGCACGCTGTTTTCTGAGGCGTCCGCTTCATTAGGGGAATAACGAGAAGAATAACAAAGTGCAATAAACTGTCAAATTGTTTGTGCTACAACCCAGTGTGTTTATAATTAAGACAACACATTCAAATAATAAGGTGAGACGCACCAGTTTGCAATATCAAGCAACAAAACGAGCGGATGACACCGGAAGCCAGACACATTACATTTACAAATGGTCTGCAGGTTTTCTCCTGTCTCTGGACGCTCCGCAGTGGTTTTTGAGGGTTTCTCTTGTGTTGCAGCCGTTGTTCCTGTATGTGGCGCTGCAGGCGGTTCACGGCCCCATGCAGGTCCCCGAGCGCTACGTCAGCCCCTACAGCTTCATCAAGGACCAGCGGCGGCGTGAGTACGCAGGGATGGTGTCGGCCATGGACGAGGCGGTGGGGAACATCAGCCGAGCGCTGCAGGACTCGGGGCTCTGGAACAACACCGTCCTCATTTTCTCAACAGGTACTGAGATCACGATCGACACGAGACGAGTCTGGCTTCGGCTGATCTTTTGAGGCGAGGCTGTGTGTCATTTAGAAGTAAATTAAGAAAAGGTGCGTCCCAAATCGCGTGCTTATGCACTATTCTATGACGTCTTGTAGTATAAACAGTGCGAGTGCTGCATTCACACTGAAGAAGATTCCCAAAAGAAAAAGTGCACTTTAAACACCCGGATGATGCATGAGTGTGGAATGCTGGACACTTCATGCTCTCAACTACGTCACGAAGGGGGAGGGGCTATCAGACTCCGATTATGAATGACAAAATAAACTTATATAATTCATACACTACATGAGTAGTGCATAAGTACATAGTGTATGAGTGCGGCGTTTGGGACTGAAGTGGCAAACATGCTAACTAATAATCTTTAGGTAGCATGTCCAGGTAGACCTGGAAGTACCTGTTTATTATCAGGACTCAGTGTATTTTATAAGATTCAATATTTTAATAAAATTTTGTTGGTGCTCTTATGGCGGCTGCTAATATTTGGACCGTATTGAAATATGACTGGTCGATAGAGGATCAAATTATGTATTCCACATCATGCCAGAGAATAAAAAAGGTCTCTTCCACGAATGAAGGCCTTAAAAGGTCTTAAATCTGAGCCATAAGTCTTAATTCCATGAAGTCCTGGCATTCAATGCTGCTCAGTATTTTCATCTTGTTTTCCAATACACATATCTAAACATCCTTAAATCAAGATACATTTACTTGAGAAGTACAATCAAGATATGAAGTCTTGTTTTCAGGGTTGCCAGATTGAGTCAACGGTTTTCAGCACAAAAACCTGCCCGAAACATTTAATGCCGAAAGAATGTGATAGAGTTTTATCACCATGTCAAGCAGTGTTGATAAGAACCACTTTACCTCCTTAATGATCATGACCGTACAAAACTATAAAACTGAATCAGTTTCCCGGCCAGGAGAACAGTGCAACAGGAAATGCATCAAAACAAATGAGAATGAAGAAATATGACAAAAATGTCCTCTAACCAAAAGCATGTCAAATATTTGCAAACGGCAGCCAAAAAAATGTACGAACTCATTTAAAACAAATGCATCATTTTCAGTGTCAACAGCAAAAACAAGCCAATGCATATGTAGACAAAACCCCCCAAAAGATCAGAATTAAGCAGCGTAATTAGTGCAACGAGGTAACTGTTAGTGTGAACGCACACGCTCATGCACACACCGCTACAGCCCGAAGGAAATGCACATAGATGCAACTTATATTTATGCCACTTTGGCATTGCAATCACTTTAATATACACTTACAAGTTCAAGTTTGGTCCCTTATTGCACTGAAACCCCGTCACACATGTCTCAGCAACACAAGACGGCGAAGTGATTGACAGGTCTCTCGCACCCAGCCCTGATTGGTTAAGCTGAACCAATGATGTTAAAGAAAAAATGCAGTATGTTTCTGTGATAGGCCTACTTTCCTAATTACAAACATGTATTAAAATAACTCGCCAAACAAAAAAGCAAATAAAAACCCACCAGTCCAAGCCGATGAAAAGAAGAAACCCACCCAATCTGGCAACACTGCTTGTTTGATGAGAAATTAAACAAAATGAGTTTATGATTAGGACAAGAACAAATATCTGTCAGTGGGGAATGA